TGCCTGGCTGTGTGTTTCCTGGACGGGGCCGCCTGTGGAGCTGGTTGACAGTTGCCTTTTGTATCTATGCTTCTTTTTCTATGTCTGCTTTGCTGAAAGGAGTTTTTAAGTCTTTGGGTGATTATATCTCGAGGGTCAATATGACCAGAGCAGGTGATCTATTCTAGCCATCGAGTGTTTCTGGGTTTAGGTGGTTAAATGGCTGACATCTCTCCGTATTTCCAGTCAGCTTTTCCACAGACCTGCTTATTGGTCTGAGGTGTTTGGAAGCAGAAACACTGGTAACGGGGGCGGGAACTGGGGAATCCTTTATTGGTTCTGGGGGGTCATTGATTTTCTTGCTGGTTCAGGTTTGTTCCTAACAGGAACTTTAGAACTGCGTATTGTTTTATTTATCATGTGTCTGTTTAAAGGTGGAAATGGCGAGAGGCATTTTTCTAAGCTGGCCAGAATGGAAGAAATTTCAGGGTTCAGATGAGACCAAAACCTAAACCCCAGCATGACCCCAGAACCTCATCCCATTAGTAAAGCAGTGGCTGCATTATGCTGTGAGAATCAGAATGTCAGAGATGATGGATGGAGCTTTTCACCTTCTGACTAGAAACACACTGGAGGCTTTCTGAGCCAAAAACATCCATTTTAAAGATACAAATAAAAAATAGAAAAGTAAATAAGATGTCGTAGTAACTTCTAGATGTTTGTTGTCATATAGTTGTAGATGTTGATGGTGTCAGCAGGAAGGTGAAGATGATGCTCACTGCCTTCCATCATCTTCATCGCCAGAGGTTCTAGAGGAACAGAGCCAACCTTCTTTATCAGCTGGTTGAGCTTCTTTCAGTCATTAGCTCTGATGATGATGATGATGATGATGATGATGATGATGATGATGGAGGAAGAGGTCAGACTCTCCACAGACTGATAGCAGATCTGCAGCATCTGAAGGACCTGAGCAGTTATTGATGGTAAATATCTGCCAATCTGTTGCCAACAGTTTAAAATGATAATAAAACATCATTTCCAAGCTAGTTAAAGTAAAAAAATCAATATTCTTTATAAAAAAAAATGAAGCTTCTGCTTGTTATTATAGAGTTAGTTGTTATAGATCTGTTGTAGGCTACGGTGGGCCAGTCTGAACGGCCATTGATCCCCATCAGGACAGAAAGCAGCTTCTACATCTAAACTCATCAGATCTTCAATTCTCTGCTTCTTTGTGAGAAAATGTGAGAACCCTTCCTGGAACCAGGGGCCTCTATAATAACGCATGTGGAGCAACTGTATCGGCCCCCAGGCGGGGGGCTCTGTGGTGCGCTCCTCCAGCCCCTCCCCCTGCCCCTCCTTCCTGGTGGTCCTGTGCTCCAGAAGTCCCTCCGACCCTCAGCTGCTGTCAGACCAACGGAGCCATGCTGCTGCTGAAGCTGGTACGGTGAGATCCATGACATGGCCGCCGCCGTGGCGCTCAGTCTGTGTGTCTGTCTGTCTGCGTAAAGACAGACTGTCCAGCCATGGACGTGTGTCTGTTCCACGCTGGCTGCCTGCATGCGGGTGGTCCCCTCCTGCTGCAGCAGTCAGCTTGTTTTCACTGCAGATGGAAGTGAAAGTGTTCTGATGAAGTGAGCTCTAACCCGGTGCTGTTCCCCCAGTGCGGCTGGATCCTGGCCCCCCTGTGGGGCCCTCACCTGTGTTGGGCTTTTGTCTTTGGGCGACCCAAGCGTTCAGGAGAAGATGGGACTGCAGCCAGGGCAGAGGGTGAGTACATGAAGATGTGAGCTCAATGTGGCGTCTGTGCCTGCAGCAGAGTTAATGGGTAGCATGTGTCCCATTCAGGGGGGGGGGAGGTACGTCAGCGTGGATTTAGACTGTAATCATGAAACCGCCTCAGCTGAAGGAAAACTTTACTGTTTCTGATTAAATATAGAATTAGAGCTGCACTGGATCTAAACGTTGTTCATCCTGGGACTGGTGTCACTGTGCTTCCATGGTGGGGGGGGGTCTCTGGCAACCAGAAGAAGCCCAACATGTCAGAATGACTAAAGGAGGCAACCAGCTGCACCTTTTCAGAAACACCATCCTGTTGCTCCACCTGCACCATCAGGCAGGTCACTTAGTGAGACAAGAGTGAGCGGCATCATGGGTGGAGTCCTACTGTGGGTGGAGTCCTACTGTGGGTGGAGTCACTGTGGGTGGAGTCACTGTGGGTGGAGTCCTACTGTGGGTGGAGT